AGACAAGCAGCAAAATCTCTTCAAAACCAAATAATGACTCAAGCAATATAGTTCAAGACAACCATTTCATCGAAAGAAGGTTCCTATTGAGTAAAACCACCCAGAGGGCAGGATGCTGACACTTTGCAGCTTCTAGACACTGCCCTGGACATCGACAGTATCAGGGACATAAAAAGCACTCTGCCTTCAATGAGCCAATAAGAATATGCAACTTCCAGTCATGTAATTTTGCATCCTGACAGTATGACATTCTTTTAAGGATAGAAGCTTAGAAAGGTACTTGGAAAGGATGGAAGATCCAGTTTGAACAAAGTGCATCCACACCCTACTTTATTGTAACTCAGGAGGGCAGATTAATCCAGAAGAACATTAGAACTCATCATATTAGCTCAGGTAACATGGTAACAAGGAAACTGCTCAGGGCTCCAGGCATAAGGTGATCACCAGGGGCAGACCCAAACACACCTGACTGGAAAATAGCACATGGAGGATGGATTACCCTTCCTTTTCAAACAGCTAGTGTTTGTCTACTTCAGGAGGCAAAACGCTGTGTTCTAACCCAAAAGTCAGATGGACAGGTAGCAAGCATGGATATTCAGAAGGGAAAGAGATACATTCTCCAGAATACAAAGCAGCAGTCAAGCTTTTTAACACCCTTTCCTGAAGTTACTCTTCAGCAAGTATGCTCCTTCACTAAGAGGGAGAGAGGAATGAGAGGAACTGAAGTCCCTACATGACTCCCTCTACCTGTACCATTAATCAAATCCCATCCTATAAAGAACCAGGAAATCCCTGTAAAATACAAGAGACATGAACCCCTCTTCTGGAACCCACCAAATAATCTTACCTCTCCCACTCTCATTCTCCTTTCTACAGAAGATCAGCAGACCACTGTGACTGCATAGGAAATACCTGGATCAGGCAGACCACTCTCCTATACTGACTCAGGATCCTAATGGCACATAAGGAAACTTTCTGCCTTGGAGAGAAGCAGGAGAAACATCAGAAATAATAAATTTTAGAACTGTAAATTGGCCCATGAATAGGTCATTCTGACCCAACAACAGAGGCAGATCTGTCAGTATGGAGAACTTCAGACACTACAGTTAGCTTGGTGACAGCAAGCAGCTATTGAAAGAGAAAGGAATTGCAAAGGTTGGTAGGAAAGGGGAAGAACGACAAACTCTGAATGCAGTCATCAACACTGGAGTTGGAGCCAGGCTGAGGAAGACAATGTGACCGAATGCCCAGGGAGCAAATGTAAAGGGCAAGAAAAAAAGGGTCAGTCAGAACAAAGCGGTGAAAACACCTTCCTCCATCACCTGTGCCAACAGAAATGTAGTAATTCCTTTTCTATGCCTTGGATAGGTGGTGCAGTTCCAGCAATTCATGCCAGCATGACCCTGCATAATGGAGCTCAGCCTCCTGGCTCTTAAAAATACTTGAAGCTGCAAGTGTTCTCATGAAACACAGATTAAAAAGACATTTGCCAGGCTGGCCTGAGGGAGATGTAAAGTACCTCCAGTTAATATTCCTTACATTTCTCTCCTTTATCTATTTCCTATACATTCAGTTAATTTCACTTTCATGCGGGCATTGTTTTTTTACTTACACAGATTGAATTTCAATGATAAAACATTTAAAGTGTACTGAAGCTGGATTTGAGGTTCAAATATTTCCAGTCCAGTTCTCAGGCCAAAAGGGAAGATGGCCTCCATTCAAAATGGCTACAACCCAAGGAAATAAGAGACAGAGAGAAAGAAAGGGAACAAGAAGGAAGAATGGGTAGGAAACATAAAACCAGTATTTTGTGGGATTTAAAACCACATTATGTCCCTTGGTTTTGGGAACATTCATCAAAGTGTGAAAGCTAGATTTGATGCTGGGTAGCCATCAGCTCGATAATGATATCACTCAAAGCCCCAGAAGAGCTGAACAGAAAAGCATTTCTCACCTAGTCTGAACAGCACTTTACTTAGTGACATGAAATAAAATATTGAGAAAAATAATATTTTGAAAATGTAGAAGAGTGGTTCATTCGGACAGAGAACCACTAAAGGAAGAACCTTTAGATACATACCAACATGCCTACCTATCTAAAGGAGAACCTTTAATGCCTACCAGCATATCTGTACTGTGTATTGCACGTCTACCATTCAGTCACCCGTGGAAAGGTGGAACAAAGTCACAGGATAGCTGTTCCTTCACCAGTATATTTCACTTGGCCTTGCAAGACAACTTACACAGTCCATAGGAATTTTGGAATTTAAATGGGGAAAACCTGAAATAGCTTGAAGGGCAAACTTAGTAAGATATTTAAAGACATAATGAGACTTCCCATTTACTACATACCATTACTGAAGCCACAGCAGGGATAGGATGGAAACCTCGAGACTGTAAGTACATAGAGAGTATCAGGGTTTCAGGGCTCCAGCACCTCTTGGCTTCAAGTCAGAATGCTGGAGACCAAAAGCCCCAAATCTGGTTCTGCAGGGATATTTAGATACCCACAGAAGATTCCTCAGTTGCAGTTTCTCATTCTACTTGTCCCAGTTCCACAGGTTGCTGGACCTCCTGGTCAACAGGGATCTTCCCACTGACTTAAGGTCAGACAGTTGTTAAAAACAAAAAAAACAACCCAAACCAAACCAACTAACCTTCAGAGGCTGGTGGGGTTGGTTTTTTGGGGTTGGGGTGGTTTTTTTGGCTGTTTTTTTGTTTTGTTTTGTTTTGTCTTTGTAAAAGTTTAATGGATCATGCATAACATTTCCAGCATCATGAAACACAAAATTCTGACATGATGTTTTATTTACTGCAGGCAATAACTTGATTAATATAAATATAACACATATTTTGCCAAGAAGAGGAGGAGATTTTACTTATCATATTTAGTTGGATGCTTGTCATGTTTCATCAATTTCTTATAATTTCAGCTACAGATAGTTAAGTTACACTTCTAATTTTTGTCCGTAGGTCACGGTCTCTCTTACAGTGCTCTTGAAAGCACATCCTTTCTAGAAGAATCCAACCCAGGCCTGTATTTCACATTTAATGT